TTCTACACTAAAATCACAACTCAGGACATCTCCCGAAAGAGTGACTTTAGAGCGGAATAACTTCCGGTTTTTCAAAATAAGTCATCAAAGTGAAACACAGAGAAAACGCGTAATTTCGTTAAAAATTAGCTTTTAGATGGAATAAATGGATATATCGCAGATATAGAAGTCTGGATTAGCTCGCCAAAATGTAGTAAACCTGGGTAGGCTCTGACAATTATGTAGAGTAATGGTTTATGCTCTTTTATGAAAGAGGAACCATTCTACATATTAATTTGATAGAAAACTCAAAGATTGTTTTCATCGATAAACTGTCGATAATATCCGTGGGTCTGTGTTTCAGTTCAATGAAGAGACAAGGTTGAAAGTTAAAAGATTTAATTCTTCAAATTAAACTAATGATTTTGAAATGACAAGCATAGGAAACAACAATCAACATTGGCAACTTTGTTGAACAATCTTTAACAGTTGATATTGTAAACTTGCTCAAATAGACCTTGTGTTGGATGTGTGAGAATTGAAAATAAGGTGAGATGAATGCGTGTGTGCATCCGATTTTGCTTCAGGAAGAAACGGGTGTCTGAGTGAAAAGTGATGGTTTGAATAAACTTAGGTTTTGTTGGAAAAGATGCATCAAACGCTATCTCTCGTGGACTGCCTCACCGTATTCGGACCCTCTTTTAGACCCGGGACGTCAAAGGACGATGTTTCATCCAGGGCACCTCAGCTGGCAGAGAAGACGAAGGTGTGCTGCGACCCGGTCAAGAGATGACCTCGGTACACGTGATGATGAAGCGTTTGCAGATGCGCTTTCTTAAGTTTAAATTACTCAGAAAATCAAAGACTCTGGACGAGTCTGCGTGTCTGGCTTGGCAGGAACAGCGTGAGAGGGGGGGGAGACAGCAGCCGCAGGCTCCCTTCCCCTGGTGCGTGTTCAACACGTCCGAACTCTCTCGTTGACAAACTCGAACTGAATCATAAGACTGAAACTTACCAAACCCATTTCTCTTCTCAAAGCAAACGTGTGCGTCAGAGCAAATGTGTTTTGGAGTTTACTGTGAGAGTTTGTGTGTGTGTGAGTGTTTGAGTGAGTGTTTGAGTGTGTGAAGGTCACCACTAAAACATCTTCAAACATTATTTAATTAAGTATGGATTCATTATAGTTATGATTAACCAAAGCATAATAATCATTCATTTGATTAAAACACATTTATAATGGGTAAAATGGTAAAATGATTATTTAGCATTAATAAACAAAGGAAGTGTAAGACTCTTTATTATGACTAGCTTTTCCATGAGAACACATCTTCTGGCACTGCAGGTGTTCAGATGTTATGGTTTCTCCCAGACTCGCTGGCGTTCAGGTCTTAATCTGTGGGTGAAAGTTCTCAGCGACCCAGCTCTTGACCCAGCCGGGCCAAGTATAACCTTTGGCACAGAAAAACCATATTTCCTCACGTTACAATTATATAAAGCTGTAACAAAAATACTTTGCATGTACTGACCCCCCCCCCCCCCCCCCCAGTTGCTTTTTTCCAGTTCCTAAATCCACATGGTGAGTCAAACACACTTCCTGCGCTACTTGGTGAGCTAAAATGTCTGCATGCATGACAATAAGTAGAGTCCATAGTAACAGAATATTCAACCCAAGGATGACCTTCATACCAGCTTGGCTGAAAGCTGCGTCTTCTGTCTCCTATTAATGTCACTGGAAATGTTCTCAAATGAGGCTGAGTAGGTGGGTCATCCTTGCACTTGCTGATATCTGAAAGAAAATAAATGTTAGCATGAGGATAAAAGTCATAATTAGTTAATTCAGAGTCTTATTTTATATATTTATTAAATATAAACAACAGAAATGTTGGTCCAGAGTCAGCATGCCTCAAATGCATTTTACACACAAGATGAGCTGCAATCACAGAGGGCTTGTTCAACACCCACAAACCTTTGTTCAACACCCACAAACCTGACGGTAGTGTACACGGTGCACATGACAGAAGATGTCCCTCTTTTTGCTCCTCACTCTCTCCCTCACAGCCTACATCTTCCTCCTCACTCTCAGGGTGGACAGCCTCTGACCTCTCTGGTTCCTCTCCAACCAACTCCTCCTTCTCTCTTTCATCCTGCTTCTCAGCTCCCTCGTGACTTTCCTCCTCTCTCTGTCTATGCTGTTCGTTATTAACAACAGTAAAAAAAAGGACAAAATGTCCATTTTTCTTTTCATGGCCGCTGTAAAGAAAAATTTGGTTGGTTTAACCATATTGTAAGGAGAAACTGTCTTTACTCAGTTTTATTGTTAAGAAGACTCAAAGGTTGTTTTCATCGATAAACTGACGATAATATCTGAGCGTCTGTGTTTCAGTTCAATGAGAAAACCAGTTTGACAATTAAAAGTTTTAATTCTTCAAATTAAACTAATGATTTTGAAATTGACAAACAGGAAATAACAATCAACATTGGCAACTCGTGGGACAATCTTTAACAGTTGATATGCTGTTCTTGCTCAAATAGACCTTCTGGTGAATTTATGAAGATTGAGAATGTTGTGAGTTGTGAGAGTGATATGATGTGATTATGGATGCGTGTGGGTGCAAAGTGTGGTGAGATGAGGTGAGATGGATGCGTGTGTGCATCTGATTTTGCTTCAGGAAGAAACAGGTGTCTGAGTGAAAAGTGATGGTTTGAATAAACTTAGGTTTAGTTGGAAAAGATGCATCCAAACGCTAAACACCGTGTTCTGTCTCACCGAACTCTTGTGGACCCTCTTTCGGATCCGGGCCGTGGAGGATGTTGTGGTTCATCCAGATGACACTCAACGGCTGACAGGGAAGACGTAGGTGTCGAACGGAACCGGTCCAGAGTTGCCCTCGGTACACGTTGATGGTAAAGCGTTTTGTCGACGCGCTTTCTTAAGTTAATTCACTCAGAAATCAAAAGACTCGGTAATGAGTCTGCGTTAGAAGTTGCGATTCAGCTATTCTGTCTGGCTGACAGAAACAGCGTGAGAGGGGGGAAGAACGAGCCAACCGGCTCTGCCCCCCCTTTGGTTTTCAGGTCCACTCTCTTTCGTTGTCAAGCACGAACTGGAATCATAAGACTGAAACTTACCAAAAACCTTTCTCTTCTCAAAGAAATGTGTGCGTCATCAAATGTGTCTGGAGTTTACTGTGGGAAGATGTGTGTGGGTGTGTGTGAATGTTTGTGTGTGAAGGTCAGCAACAAACATCCTCAACACTATCTAATTATGGATTCATTAAGCCATTATAATTACCCCAAAGCATGAGAACCATTGATTTGATTAAACACATTTATAATGAGCAAAATGATAATGGTTACTTTAACATTAAAATCAAGAAAAAGAAGTTTAAACTTTATGTTTTGACTTGGTCTGGGTACAACTCATGGAAACACATCTTCTGGTAGACTGCAGGTGGCTGATGTTATGGTTTCCTCCCAGACTCTCTGGCGTTCAGGTCTTAATCTGTGGGTGAAAGTTCTCAATGACCCAGCTTTGACCCAGCTGAGTCCCACACCACCATTGTGACAGAAAACCCATATTTCCTCACGTTACAGACCCCCCCTTTTGTGACGACATGGTGGTCAAGCAGAGGCCACCTGACGTCACAACCTCAATAACGTGACGCACTCGGGAAGGTAGACATCCCAGATGAAGGCAGGAACGATGAAGCGTCTCCACAGGTCTCGTCTGGAAGGGAGTATATCCTGATCAGATGATTAAGGCCAAAACTGATGCAATCATTGTAAAGTAATCCACTTAGGAACTCTTGAAAGCAGAGCTATTTCAATAGCAGTTAATTTCATCAGCAATAATGCAAAGGTATTCAAAGGATAAGCAGCTCGTGTGTCACACGGAGCTGGGCAGGTGATGTATTCCTCAGGCGTAATCCAAGTGAAGTCCAGCGCAGACCTCGACCCATCCCGAACCACAACCGAAGCCCCATGCGACAGGAAACCAGTTGAAGGATGGTGAAGACGACCCCTCTGATGGGATGTAGTCCATACGAGCTCGGAGAAGGAGACAAAGTGAGACAGCCCACACGATAGATAGCATTTGATGCAAATCAAAGAAATCAGTCAAAACCTATCTATGGGTGCCTCTGGGAAAATGTGGATGCCTTTTGTGAATTATCTAAAGAAGAAATGTTCTGCACCCTGTTCTACATGTCATGTAAAACGTGATGCAGAGAAAACACAAATAAAAGAAAGTAAATCCTAACTGATATGTGAAACTCAGCAGGCTGCACTAATTAAAGGCATATACATAAAGAAATGATCATGAAAATGAAGGGCAAATATGCTTGTGGCCCTTTAAGGGAAATAGTAACAAAATAAAATTAAATTTGTAATCAAATATAATCATGCTACACAAAGCACTAATAAAAAGATAGAGATGTAAATCAGTTCTAAAAATGTAAATCAGTAGGTTAGTAATCCCTAAAAATGTGAGTTAGTAACAGGACCCTGGCTGGAGGCAGGTAACCTGAAAAAAAAAACTCAAAGGATATCACATTTGTTAAAAATACATCCCACAAACGAGAGAATTTGTAACGGTCCACCAGTTAGCGGAAAAGAATCCGGTCAGAATAGAGTTGGTCAGATTAGAGTTGTTCAGTATAGAGTTTTGAATCTGGTATTGCGGACCCACAGAGACACGAGTTTGGACGTATCTGTGGGAGCAGGCTCATAAGCGATTTGGTTATCAAACTGTTTGTATCTTGTGTTACGAACCCACAGGGAAACTTGTTTGAATTTACCTGAGGGTTCCGTCCGGAACTCGAGTGAAGCTGATGGTGTAATTGTTAGATCAGAACCTGATTTTACCTGCTCAAAGTTGGGTTGCAGCTTAACAGAGGCGACTTTTTTGTGATCAGAAATAGTAGTGAACTGGAAATGCGAAAATGATGCTCGCAAAGCAGGAGGAGGCTCCCCACCCCCCTTTTGTTGCTCAAACTTATGCCGTGTCTGTGAGACAGGAGAAGCATAACAAAGAATAGTTCTTAAGCTCTTAAAAGCCCTATTACCAAGAAGATGCACACTGTCACCTGAATCGTGCTGAAAGAGTAGGTGTTCAGATGTCCAAAGACCTGGAGGTGTTGGACTTTGAGGTTCTGAAAAGGAGTGATCCAAGGATGGTTGTTTCACGGGTGTCAAAGCAAACCTAGCCATGTTTAGAATCAGATACAGACATGACACTATCGAAAGGAACATGTTCTTTCCTGAAAACTGAAGCCAAGAATACTTTATTCCCAAGAATGATGGAGGTTCCCACACAGAATCAGAAAAACCCGGTTTAACCAGAGTAATTACAGATTGACTAGAACTCCGCCCCGTAGAAGGTGCAGCACCTAACTCCGGGTCGGAGGTCAATGTCGTCAGCTGAATTGGTGGAAGGTCAGTGTCGATTTCTGCAATGACCCGCCCGCCCGCTCGGAGGAGGCGTTCCCCCGAACCGGTTGAAGTCCGCAACGGAAAACTCAGTACCACTCGGCACCCCCCTTTTGTCAGGAGGGGCCCCGAGCAGAGCATCACTGCACGCACCTACTGCTCGCGGGCCGGGTGGCCATCCCGTGCCCGTGAGAGAGGTGATCGCAGCAACCACCGAGCCTCCTTCAATATCGCCACTGACCACAGGACTGCTTGAAACCGCAGGTTTTACTGCGCCGTCGTGGTCACCTGTAAGAGAAATCACAGGAAAGAGAGCACAGAGGCCAGAGACTTAGTCACACCCCTGTGAAAGGAGAAAGGAATTGGCCACCGTATTAGCAGAGGTCACAAACTGAAAAGTGACAAGGTCATTCACATAAAGGTCAAGATGTCCGGGCACAAACCCCTTAAATGGCATGGTAGCTCCGTCCGGAGACCACAAGTATTTCACGGCAGCTGACGTTTCCATCACGCCCCGATAAAGAAGCTGGCTTGTGCATGAGGCGGACTGACGAGTAAAGCAGACCTCTGACTGAAGCGGTGGATCACAGCCTGAAGATCTCACACCCATGCTGGAGAGATGGTCAGCCTTTAACATGGATGACAGAGAAGAAGCATCAGGAACCAAAGGGTTAAGCACAACCTGTTCGTCAGAGAGGTTAACCATAGGCTCAAGAGATTTATTCAGCTTAAAAGTAGCAGAGAAAGTGTTGTTTATTTCAAACCTTGATATTGATGGTGGGTTTTTGACCCCCTGGAAGAAATAAAGGCAAAGAAAAAGCGTTATGACTGTAAACAGCATGTTGCATGAATTCACGTCATGAATTGCAGACCAGAACCACCTCCGACCCAGAGCAGCTGGCACCGAACCACTGCCACTAGTCCCCACCATGCCCGACCGGCGGCACCCGCCTAATGCGGGCCCATTCGGGCGGGCGGAGGGACCAGCGTGGCCCGGCCGGTAAACAGACTCCTGCGTCTTGGCATGTCCTGGAAGCAGAACGTCAGAGAACCTTACATCAGGTGTAACAGTGCAAGAAAGATTTTGTCGTGTCTCGTCCATCCCTCATTAAGTTCAGAGCAACTCGCGTTTTTACCTTCTGAGTCAACGTAAAACTTCGGGCAAATTCCTTAATTTATCTCACAATCAAGGACTGTCCGTAGCGAAACTTATCTTTATGACACAGGGTAAAACAAGGAATTGTTGATAGAGAAATGAATACACACAACTTCACAAGATGGAAGAAAAAGGCATGGATCCGAGCAACGGAGGCTGTGAAAGCCGACCCGTTCACCGGTCCAAAATAAAAACAAAAAAATAATAAACCCTACGCTGCCGAGATGTTATCAGACGGACAAACGTAGCAAACTGTAGATTCTACACACCGTAGCGAATTACAAGAATCACCGCCGATGCGGGTTTCGTGAGGACACAGACTAACTGTGTCAGAAATGGTTTGACAATTTAACGGGACGCGTTCCCTTTTTGTCCAACTGTGGCGCGCTAGCTTAGCTCTCCGGCTAGGTCTAGCTTTTCTGTCTGTAGCGACCAGACTTAAATTTTCCCGATTAACAAGCAGGCATCTCGCTCCGCTTGTAAAAACGGACTATAAAGCGTATGCAATCTGGATGCAGTAACGCGTGACGGCCATGACTCGACTTACAGCGTTTACCGAGCAAGTTAAGCTACGGTAGGTGCCTACGAGCATTCCGGTTTAGATTAGGCTTTGATCAGTTGCCTATGAAATGGAAATATCTTCCACAATAGCTCGCCCACAGTGTCAACACACTGAGACGAAGGGTGTCCGAGAATTTAGTTTCGGTACGGAGGTTCGGAGAATTTAGTTTTAATTTTAGGACTGAGGATAAGCTGCTCACGGTAGCTCACCCAGCAAGGTTCAGAGCGGAAATGTAGCTTTCCAACCTGAAGAGGTTAGAGGCACGGCGTCGCGTCAAAATGGACAGAATTTAGTCAAAATCACAACTCACACGTTCGCTCCGAAGGCGAAGGTGGGATAAATCAAAGTTAGTTCTGTAATTTGCGGACAATTTGAGATCGGAGTTCTTCCGCCGTCAAGTTCCCACCAGGACGTCTCCCGGAAGAGGGACTTCAGCGGAACAATTTCCGTTTTTTTTTTTTCAAAATAAGACATCAAAGTGAAACACAGAAAAGGCGAAAATTGTGAAAAATTCGCTTTCAGATGTTAGAAATCAGACATATCGCAGATATAGACGACTGGATACGCTCGCCATATTGTAAAGAAAAATTTGGTTGGTTTAACCATATTGTAAGGAGAAACTGTCTTTACTCAGTTTTATTGTTAAGAAGACTCAAAGGTTGTTTTCATCAATAAACTGACGATAATATCTGAGTGTCTGTGTTTCAGTTCAATGAGAAAACCAGTTTGACAATTAAAAGTTTTAATTCTTCAAATTAAACTAATGATTTTGAAATTGACAAACAGGAAATAACAATCAACATTGGCAACTCGTGGGACAATCTTTAACAGCTGATATGCTGTTCTTGCTCAAATAGACCTTCTGGTGAATTTATGAAGATTGAGAATGTTGTGAGTTGTGAGAGTGATATAATGTGATTATGGATGCGTGTGGGTGCAAAGTGTGGTGAGATGAGGTGAGATGGATGCGTGTGTGCATCTGATTTTGCTTCAGGAAGAAACAGGTGTCTGAGTGAAAAGTGATGGTTTGAATAAACTTAGGTTTAGTTGGAAAAGATGCATCCAAACGCTAAACACGGTGTTCTGTCTCACCGAACTCTTGTGGACCCTCTTTCGGATCCGGGCCGTGGAGGATGTTGTGGTTCATCCAGATGACACTCAACGGCTGACAGGGAAGACGTAGGTTTCGAACGGAACCGGTCCAGAGTTGCCCTCGGTACACGTTGATGGTAAAGCGTTTTGTCGACGCGCTTTCTTAAGTTAATTCACTCAGAAATCAAAAGACTCGGTAATGAGTCTGCGTTAGAAGTTGCGATTCAGCTATTCTGTCTGGCTGACAGAAACAGCGTGAGAGGGGGGAAGAACGAGCCAACCGGCTCTGCCCCCCCTTTGGTTTTCAGGTCCACTCTCTTTCGTTGTCAAGCACGAACTGGAATCATAAGACTGAAACTTACCAAAAACCTTTCTCTTCTCAAAGCAAACGTGTGCGTCATCAAATGTGTCTGGAGTTTACTGTGGGAAGATGTGTGTGGGTGTGTGTGAATGTTTGTGTGTGAAGGTCAGCAACAAACATCCTCAACACTATCTAATTATGGATTCATTAAGCCATTATAATTACCCCAAAGCATAAGACCCATTCATTTGATTAAACACATTTATAATGAGCAAAATGATAATGGTTACTTTAACATTAAAATCAAGAAAAAGAAGTTTAAACTTTATGTTTTGACTTGGTCTGGGTACAACTAATGGAAACACATCTTCTGGTAGACTGCAGGTGGCTGATGTTATGGTTTCCTCCCAGACTCTCTGGCGTTCAGGTCTTAATCTGTGGGTGAAAGTTCTCAATGACCCAGCTTTGACCCAGCTGAGTCCCACACCACCATTGTGACAGAAAACCCATATTTCCTCACGTTACACCGCTGATGCTTCCAGTCAGTGTTGCGAGAAAGTCATAGATAAATGAACACTGTGATCTAATCTCAATGTGTCTAAGGCTTAAAATGCAGCAACTTCATTTTTATTTTACAGTTAAAGGCACGGTCCGTAGGATGACACCGGCAGGGTGAGGAGGAGGAGATTTTTAAATTCAAACGGCTGTTGCTCACTCCCCCGCCCTTCCTGAAAGAGCCGAAAGCCACGCCTCCTAATGTGCATGCGCAGGAAACGCCGAGTCAACACCAGAGCATTGCTTCTTCATAATAGAGCTGAGCTAGTGTTAGCAATGGAGTTATCTGAGGTAAGAAAGTTGTTTTTAACCAGCACATTAAACACTTACTGTTTACAAAAGGCATTTTATAAAGAATATCTATAAATATATTTATATTTTAAAATACCAGTAACAGTTGACAATCTATATTGTAAATAAAATGAATCCTATCAAATTGTTAGCATTTTATTACGAGTAATTAGCTTATTTTTAATTGCTTTGCCATTCAAGATGGGATGAATATATCAAAGCATATAATTTATGTGGAAATCATGAATAAACACTGCATTCTGTGTAGTCCTCCTATAATCATGGTTGTTTTCATAGGGTTTCTGGTTATTGTTGGTTTAGCCCAAATTTTGACTAGATGTAAACCTGATCTGTGTCAAAATTGATTAATATGCAAGAGTACTTTTTATATTAGTATATTTTTTTTATTCTAATACAAATTAGATTTCAGTGATTGAGGAATCCTCTGAGGAAGAGTTTGAACCTCCCATTGCATCCTCAAGACGTGGTGCAAAAAGGAGATGCCCACCATCATCTCAAGCCGTGGTGCATCCAGAGGCCGTGGTGTGTCTAGAGGCCACGGTGCATCCAGAGGCCGCGGTGCGTCTAGAGGCCGAAGAAGTGTGAGACACTCAGCTGTGGACCTTGGAGATGAAGATCTCTCTCTCTCGAGAAAGAGCGAATAGACTTTGAACGTGTAAGCATAACAAAATTACACTAAATGATCCTAAAATCTGTTGCTGTAGCATCTCTTTCCACTTTTGTAGCAACACATACAGAACCTGAACCCTCAGCAGGCTATTGACGTCCTTACCATGGTGCTGGACAGAGACCCTGGTGTTCACTTTGATGTACTTGCCCTCTCTGGTCCACCTGCCACAACACCTCCAACATCCAATCAACCTTCATGGTGTGTATGCTCCCACTGCAGAGATACCAACTGATTTGGAAAAGAAATGCTGCCAACAGCCTCCCCAGACATGTTTTTTCAACTGTACCACACATGGAGTTTATTCTGCAAAATGGTGTTCTTCGCCTGGCCAGAACATTGTGGAATGAGTTTCGAGTAGTTTATGATGACCCGGACCCTGGTGAGGACAACAGACAGTTCCGCCATGCAGCTTACAGACAATTTGTAGCATGGCAGCATGGAAAACTTGGTGGAGGGCACAGGGTAGTATTCCCAAGCTGTGGTCTGGAGGATAAGGGAAAAATTCCCTGACCCCAATGGTAACTACACTGGTTTTATTCCAAGACGATTGTAAATAAATGTATATATTTGATATTTTACATAAGTTTGTTTTTTATATATTTTTGTTTGATGCTCTAATAAAGTGTTGTAAAGCATAACTCTGTGTTGCATTTGTAAAAATACCATAAATGTTAAAACTATAAGGCCAGAACAGTCTCAATAAGAATTAAGTCACACAACGTTTTCCACAAATGCACACGTTCATTCGGAAATCCACATTCTGTGTTTCACAAATATAATTCGGAGGAACACAAATGCACACGCTCATTCGGAAATTCACACTCTTTGACTCATAAATATAATGTGAAAAAATAAGTCACGCAACATTTTCCACAAATGCACACGCTAATTCTGAAGTTCACACTCTGTGGTTCACAAATATAATTTGTAAGAACACTTGTAATATAAACTCACAGATCATACGAATTGCTGAATGTGCATTTACGAACAGCTTCTCATTTGTGAACCTTCCTGCATTCGTGAGAGAAATCGGTGTGCTGAATTTTGAGACTCTCCTGCGTCGCAGGTCAACAAACGTCACCATTGGCTAATGAATCTGTCAATCAAATATATGATTCTGCCAGGGCTGTTCGCTTTCAGCCAATCATATGGCTCCTTATGTTATGGAACAGATCTGCTGTGCGCATAAGTCGGACACAATTTCCTACATGTGTAGCTCGGGGGTGAGGATGTATGAAGATATCGCGTTAGCGTTCACACTTGTTTAATTATTTATGTTAATTCTGGTGCCTGTTAGCAGCTGAAACACATCCTCACGTGCTTGTGGATATCATATATTGTATATGAAGACATGACTGTAATAATAAGTAAAGGTTATCAGCTGTAGCTTTAGTGTGCTCATAGGAAACGTGACAAAAGAACACAAAACACATTTTTCTTTAAAGCCTATATAGATGTCATCATCAACATAACATGATTTACAGAATACATGTGAACAACTAACATTTCATGTTCTACCACCGGATGTTTGGATCAAAATATGAACCAAACAGATCTTAGATCGGGTGAGAGCCAGGCGTTTCCCGTCATCCCCTAGGTTTTGCAGCCGAGGGAGAACAACTGCAGCGCCTTGCTCCAAAAGCTGCGGCCGCCTTGATCTCAAGTGGTTATCGTTGCCTACGTATGCATGATGTCAGAGCAAGTCGGACACAAATCTAACCGGCATGCACTGTGCACCGATCACCGCTGATCCAATCTGTGCAGTTAAGGGGATGGAATTAATCCAATAGGCGATTGCTCAAAGGGCTACGCTACACTCATAGAATCTGGGGTTACATTACATTACCAACGTTCCACCCTATGGGTGGCCTCTTAATAATCTTATTCAGAAAAATTATGCATTTTTACTATGTGAAAGCAAACCCCGTTAGGGGCAGAGACCTCTTGAAGCTCATATTAAACATTGTCTGCAGAGAAGGTAAGAGAAGCTAGTAAATCATC